AGCTCCTCTGCTTATGTCACAAACAGGATGACCTGTCGCTGAGCTGGGTCTGATCTACATCACTGGAAGGGAGGGAGAAGGAAAAGGAGGAGGAGGGGGAGAGAGAGAAAGAGGGATGAGGAAGGAGAGGAAGAGGGAGGGGGAGAGAGATGAAGAGGGAGAGGGAGAAAAGAGAGAAGAAAAAAAGAGGAGGGAAGGACAAAGGGGCAGAGGGAGGGAAGGAGGACACAGTAATTGAAAATCACCCAGCATCTCAGACAAAATAGGCAGCATCCTGGAGGGAGGCAGAACAAGGGAGGACAATGCTACCTGAGGGTGGAAAACCTGTTCAAGCTTTCTAAGAGAAAGAGAGAGAGACAGACAGACAGACAGACAGACAGAGAGACAGACAGACAGAGAGAGAGAGAGAGATGGATGGATAGATAGATGGATAGATAGATAATGTTTAATGCTTGAACAGATTCCTTACCCTCACGTGGCATTACCCAGTCCTATATTTTGCAAATATATACATATAAAATTGTCTATAATAATACCTTTATGCCCCAATACTAGCAGCTCACATGTACAATCCTAGCTCATCAGAAGGCTGTAATTGGAAGATTGTGCCTTTGAACTTTTTTTTTGGCGGGGGGAGGTCTGGTTGTGGGGCCTGAACTCTGGGCCTGGTGCTGTCCCTCAGCTCTTCAGCTCAAGGCTAGCCTAGCTCTACCACTTGAGCCACAGCGCCACTTCCGGCTTTTTTCTTTTTGCTTATGTGGTGCTGAGGAATCAAACCCAGGGCCTCCGGTATGCAAGGAAAGCGCTCTACCACTGAGCCACCTTTCCAGCCCCTTTGAACTTTTAACAGATATAATTATATGTTTATATTGTCTAATTCTATCCAGTTTACACTTTTTTTCTTGGTCCTGGGGCTTGAACTCCAGGGTCTGGCTGCTTTCCCCAAGCCTCTTCTGTGCTCAAGGCTAGTGCTCTACCACTTGAGCCATGGTGCCACTTCTACCTTTTTCAGAATAGTTGGTTGGAGATAAAAGACTCATGGACTTTTCTTCCCAGGCTGGCTTTGAACCATGAATCCTCAGATCTGAGCCTCCTGAGTAGTTAGGATTACAGGTGTGCTGGTTAGGCTGATTTTTATAACAGAATCACAATGAAGTCAGTATTGTAAGTATATGTGTGTATTTATATGTAGTTATATATTTTTATATTTATAAATATAATTATACAATACACATATATGTATATATACATATGTATATGTACATGTATATGTACATATACATATATGTGTATTATATATAATTATATGTATATGTATATAAACATATGTAATAAATACATATAAATATATATGTAAATGTATATAAATGCATATACATATACATACATACATACATACGTACTTCTTTTAGGGGGTGCCAGACCTGGGACTTGAACTCAGGGACTGTCACTTGAACTTTTTTGCTCAAGGCTAGCACTCTACCACTTGAGGCACAGCTCCACTTCCAGCCTTTTACTAGTAATTTGAGAAAAGAGTCTCACAGGCTTTCTTGCCCAAGATGACTTCAATCTGAGATCCTCAGATCTCAGCCTCCTGATTAGCTAGGATCACAGGAGTGAGCCACCAGCACCCAGCCAGTGACAAATGGCATGGTTTGTAGAATGGCAATGAAATCAAATGATATTGCTAAGCCTCAAAAAAAGAACCCAATTTCCTAAGGACAAAAGAGATAAATTAATCATCTTCTCTCCAGTACTTTTGAAATCATGGCATGTTTAAGATATACATTTTAAAACACACTTCTGAAAGGCATGCAACCTAAAATAGGCATTTAAAAATCTACAAGAGCATGGTAGTTCCTGAAATCATTTTCTTTTTTTTGTTTGCTTTTTGAAACAAGGTCTATGTAGCCAAGGCCTCAAAGTTGGTATTTTACTGCCTTCTTCAATGCATGTGCCTTCACCTCTAGCTTTTTCCTTAAATTTTATGTACATATGATATATTTTTATGTTCATTTCCCTAATCTTTATTTTAAACTATATGCATAATTATAATATTATATGCCTAATTATATCTAGAATATAGTCCTCTTTCAGGTTACCAAAATAATTACTTCTTGCTCCTTTCAATAAGTCCTGATTAAGTCAGGACAGACAGCTTGTGGGCTGCTATCAGCATCCCAAGCCTGAGTTTATCCACATTTTTATCTAGTGACCGTCTCTTTCATTCAATACCTTTTTACTTTTGTTTTCCTAAATGAGTTCAAAGTAGTCAATTTCCCTGTTCCCTTCCATGTCTCAAGGCTTTGATTCCTTTCATATTGCATTCATATTTAAGTTTATAGTTGCAAAGCAATTTACACTTACAACCTTGAAGATTTCTTTGTTTTATAACATCCTGTCCAAATGATAGAAAACCGGATCATCCATAAAAAGGAAACAAATTGATTTCAACTGGCCTCAGGCTTTCCAATCACAATGTTAGAGACAAGAGTCCAATAAAATGATATTTTCAAGAGTTGAAAGGAAATAAATATTGATCCTTAAATTATTAGCAGCTAAAATTATTTAAAGATGTTATTAGACTATGAAGATCCAAAGGTTTTTTAAAGTCTCATAAATCCCTTTGAAATTATTTATAAAGGAAATATACCAGTAGGAAGAAAAATAACCAGAAATAAGGTTTTGATTTGTGGGAATAAAGATAGGCATTTATTGTACCTAAAAATTACATGAAAGTACAGCATATTGAAAATAACCCAGAGGAAAGTATAGGAAATAGCCCCTTGGAGTAAGGATTGTTTTGTGATGGGGGAAAAAAACAAACCAAGAGCCACAGGTAGCTGGAGACCATCAGAAATCCTGAGCTGACAGTATCATTACACATAGGGGAATCTGAAATTAACATTAAAAAATATGTAACACCATTACAATATATTTCTTGTGTGTCCACATACCAGGTCTTGAACTGAGGATCTCACTGAAGGACTCTCCCTCTCAGCTCATTCTTTCCAGGTATCCAAAGATGGACTATGAAGGGTTAACCCCAACCAACCACATTTTCCCAGGTGCATACAGACATCAGGCAAATGATCAAAGAGATGTGCGGGCTGCCTGACACAGCCAAGGCAAGCCGACCTGGGCCTAGCCTGAAAGGCTCTGAGACCAAGCTGTAAGGCCAGGAAAGGGTTAAGAGGTTGGTAGACTAAAAACTGTATCCTGTGAAGGTCTCGACAAGACAGATAGAGAACTGTTTGTCCATGAAAAAGCTTGAGACCTTGGATAAGGGAATACTTACCCTATTCTCTGCCTGCACCTGCAGTCACTGCCCCTCCCCAGATTAAACTCATGTAACCTGTCTCCTTGATCAGACCCACTAAAACCCAACTCTTGTCCCAGCTCTTCGCACGTCTCCCAGGCCACAGGACACTGTGCCCATCGCCGTTATACCTCAATAAGCAGTCCTAACCTGAGGAAGATGGGGTCCAGCCTGCTTCCTTTCTTTCTCATCCATTTTCCTAACACTCACACTTATTTATGGCTGGTGCTCTACCACTTGAACCACACCTCCAAGCTAGTTTTTTGATGGCTAATTATACATGCAGTCTCTTGGACTTTTCTGCCCCGGATGGCTTTTTTTTAGAAACAGAAATCTATTCTCATCTTCAGTACCAAGCAGGATCCTTGCAAACATAGACAGGAGTCTTAACAAGGCAGAAGAGTACATTGTCAAGTTTCATATTCCTAATGCTTTCCCTGCCCCCTGTCCCTTGCCCTGCTGACCTCAGGATTCAGGCGCAGGGTTTAGACAGCTAGGCAACAGGAGATCCCATAGGTGAGTTAAGGTATATAAGCTTCAGGAAGTCACATAGGTAAGACCAAGGAAATCGAACTTACAGCTGGAATGTTTCATTATCTTACTTTGAAAGAAAAGAGTCTTACTGACTTCTTGTAATTCTACCTCTTTGGGTCTAGAGTTGTTCTTTGCTTCAAATTGTGGTAACATCATTTTTTTTATCACTAAGTAAAAAAAAAAATATTACCCTGACTAAGGTAGAGGAGGATCTCAGTCAAGGCAGTTGCTATAAAGATTTGTAGCAGCCCCTGGATACAGGGTATGATACAACAGCGAAATAAGAGCACTGTGATTATTAGAGAGCTTTTCAGAATACTGTTCCGTGAGGTTTGTGAAAGGGTCATTTATTCACAAGTTTTCAGCCAATTCATTTGCTAGGCTGATCAGTCCATCAGAGGAAATGTTATTCAGAACGAATGCACAGACATTTATTAATGGTAGACTTCTCCACCCCAGAACAAGACTAGCTCAAAGCTAGCAGATATTTAGCTTCTGGTCTATACATTTGTTAAGAACTCCCATAGGGACTCCAATAGTTTCTAAGTGTATATTAGAATCAAAAGAATCCCTAGGATGTTTCTTTTATTGTCTTTTTTTTGGGGGGGGGGAGAGGATCGAATTCCAGAGTAAAAGGGATAGCCAATTAGACCAATGTACAGGTTCCACCACAGCTGGCGAAGAGGGTGACATACAGTGGCCCCTAATAAAATTACCAGAGGTATGTTCGCAGAATGTTTAACATGGAATGACTGGTCTCAAACTCAGCAACTGAAGACATTTTCCATGAACATAGTATACCTTTTCCCCCCACCTTGAAAGACAGGAGATAAAGTTTATACCTTCTTGCAGAGGTATGATAGCCCTAAGAATCTCATGGCCCTTGGCTAGGGTAAACAGCAAGTTTAGGGACTTGCATGATTCGATTCCCCAGGCTGTTTTGTCCTGGAAGAGTGTTATCATACAGATCATACTATCTGGATTCGAAGACCATCACCAGAAAAAGGGACCACCTGTGCCTCCAGTCCTTGCACAGTGTAACAACGGCTTTTGTTAAGGCTGTGGACATTTCACCCAGGCATTAACGTCTCTGCATCCTGTCTGGATTGCCAGACTCTCATTGACATTGTTGTTATGGTTGCTTTAGTTGGATTATACTGGTGCTGAACAACAGGGCCCTCTGATTGGGATCAGGACAGACGTGCCAGCCTTTGATGCCTTGTTGTCGGCGCACTTCTACCCAAGTGTAATGAGCCCAGCCTTTTTCAGTGCTTCAGATGGTTGTCTCCTTAGTCAATAAGACTGGGCTAGTACTCCACCACTTGAGCCACAGCTCTACTTCTAGCTTCTTAGTAGTTTATTGGAGATAAGAGTTTCATAAACTTTCCTGGCCAGGCTAGCTTCAAACTGCGATTCTCAAATCGCAGCCTTTTGAGTAGCGTGAACCATAGTTTTCCAGCTCAGAAAATTAGCTTTTTGAAAAACAAGATCAGACAGGCTTGTCTGGACTTTCACCAGAAGCATAAAGATCACGTTAACACCTTCCTGATAAGGCCTTTTTGAATAGCAAAGTCTATCCAGAGAGTTTAAGCAATAAAACAAGTAAAGGAGTCTTAATTCCTCAGAAACAAGAGTGGATCCACTGGCCTCTGTGGAGTCTTAAACATGAAGAGCAGCTACTTTTGGACTAGTGAGCAAGCTAGTCCTGTAAAATGGATGGGAAAAACTATGTTGCTGGCAGACTAGACCAGAAAAGAGCTAGACAACCTCCAGAAAATTCCAAAAGGCCAGACAAGCATAAGAGAAAAAAAATGCCAACAGAACCTCTACTTTAAACAAAGTTACCAAAAACAGAGGGGATTATTATTATTATTATTATTGCCCGTCCTAGGGCTTGAACTGTCCCTGAACCCCTGAGCTTTTGTGCCTAAGGCTAGTGCTCTACTATTTGAACCACAGCACCACTTCCTGGTTTTTGTGGTTAACTAGAGATTAGAGTCTCAGGGACTTTTTCTGCCCTGGTTAGTTTCCAACCACAATCCTCATACCTCAGCCTCCTGAGTAGGTAGTACAGGCATGAGCTACCTGGTCCCAACAGAACAGAGGCTTTTGGTTTTTTTAAACATGTCTGCTAGAGAACTCAGCTTTACATCAGTAAACTAAATTGATATTTGAATACCCCCTAGGGAGATCTTAATCTACCTGAAAATCTTGTAAAGAAAATGGGTGATGTCCTCAAATGGGATTCCTGTCCTCATCCTGGCTTTGTTTCCTTTGTGAGGGAAGAGAAGAATACCCCGCCCCGCTTTTTTGTTGGTTGTGGGGTTTGAACTCTGGGTTTGGGCACTGTCCCTCAACTCTTCACTTTACCACTTAAGCCACAGCACCACTTCTGTTTTTCTGGTGGTTTATTGGAGATGAGAATCTCACAGACTTTCCTGCCCAGGCTGGCTTTGAACCGCGATCCTCAGATCTCAGCCTCCTGAATAGCTAGGATTACAGGCATGAACCACTGATGCCCGGCCTCCCACATCTTCTATTGGGTATTATGGCCAAGTGCTTTTTTTTCTTTTAAGGTCTCAGGAGCTAAATTCTTCCAGTGATTCAGGAAACATGCCAGTAGGGAGTCATCAGGAATCTGGCTGTTTTAGCACCTCTATAAGCAAGAGCAGAAAGAGACAATCTCTTCCATAATGGAGGAAGTGAATCCAGTTTCTCTAGCTCCTTCCTTTTTTATCTTAATGGATGTAATGATTATGGGGCCTCATCTCCAACAGAGTGTTGAGTCCATGTTCTCTTGGGAGACTGGGCTTTTTCTTCATTGACATTTTTGAATAGAAGTTGGCATACCCAATTCCCATCTGACGCAAACTTTGGCCAGAACACCAAGGATTTAGGATGGGTCCTTGAGTACAAAAAAAAAAAAAAAAAAGCAGCAGAATCAAAGCATCTTTGTTTCTTTTTCTCTTTGGTCCATGCATGATTATTCCAATATTCTAACATCTACCACCTAGGTGAATCTTTTCCTTCCCTGCCCCCGCCCTACTCCTATTTGCTAAAGAGGGATTCTTTTCTATTCTTCGAGGTTTTCTGGCTTATACTCAATCCTTTACTGCCAAAAATGTCTTGAACCTTTCCAGTGTTCTCAATCTCAATCTCGCAAAGAAATAACTGTTCCTTGCAGCCAACCTTCAATCCAACCACAAAGGCAGTAATGCGAGCACCCCCTTTCCTACCTTGGTTCATGCATGAAGTGGCCTGGTTCCTGATAGTTTTTTGCGTGGGCACTGCCCTGCATGGCTTTGACTTCCATCCCTTTAGCCTGCAGCTGCAACTAAGGGAAATCAGTAAGTTAGCCAGAAGGAGCCAACGTAATGATCAGCAGGAACCATCTCCCCCCTCATGGAAATTTCCCTCTCACCCCAGTCACAGCTAGATCTGGAATGCAGCTCCAAATCGTTAAGAATAGAAATAAATTCTTAGTCTACATTACCCAACAGTCACCGATGATAGTTTTAGCAAAGGAATCTTTAATATTTCTCCAAATGGGTATACTCTTGACAAACCCAGAGAAGGCCAGCACACTAGACAGGCAGTCTGCCTAGTTTCTTACACCTTAGCTCTCTCCCCACCCCTGGTCCATTGCCCTGTTGACCTCAAGGTACCAGCTCACAGAAGATCACAAAGGTGAGTGAAGGTGCATAAGCTTCAAGAAATCATATGGGTGAGTTAAGACCAAGGGAATGAAACTTACAGCTTGAATGTTATGTTATCTTCCTTTGAAAGAAGAGATTCTTGTCGATTTCTCCTTTCACTTTGAACTGTAAGTAATCCTTTAGGTCTGACTCTTATGTAGCTAGGATTATAGGTATTAGCCACCAGTACCTGGTGACATTACAATATTTCAAAAACTAAAATTTCAAACAGAAAAACTTTTGATCTATAAAGTAAGAGTTGCTATTAGAGAGGAAAGAGAAAAATGAAAGTATGGAAAACAATAAAATACGCAGAAATAAATCACAATAGAAGAACAATAATTAAGAAAATCAAAGGTAAGGATTTTTTGGTAAAATTCTGTGTGTGTGTGTGTGTGTGTGTGTGTGTGTGTGTGTGTGTACTCCAGCTCTTGGGCTTAAATTCAGGGCTTGGGTACTATCCTGAATATTTTTGCTCAAGGCTAGTGCTCTACCAATTGACCCACAGCTCTACTTTTCCCTTTATGGAGGTTAATTGGAGATAAAAGTCTCACAGTTTCTTGTCTAGGTTGGCTTTGAACCTCAGTCTTCAGATCTCAGCTTCCTAAATAACACCTGGCAGATCAGATTTTTAAATGTCAAAAAAAAAAGTCAAATAGACACACTGGAAATAAAGTCATGGAGAAAAAAAAACAGATGAATATCAATGATTCAGATACAAGGTCCAGATATAAGGGTAAATGCATCGAGAGGATATAACAAAGGAGGAGGCAACAATGGTTGATAAGAAATGTACTCATTACCTTACTCATGTAATTGTAACCCCTCTGTACAGTATTTTCACAATAAAAAAAACTTAAAAAAAAGAAAACATAAATGTACCCAACACTGAAGAAATAATGTATAAAGCAAGTGTTCACTGAAGAAATAATGTATAAAGCAAGTGTTCACAGGTCTATAAGGGAGCAATAGCAATATAATAAGTCAATGATCTCAATGAATGACTAGGCCAAATAGCAAACCAGTAAGTAGGCAGCAGGTTTGAATTACACTATAGATCAGACCTAGAAAACATTATTTTGATCAGACCATTCAACAGCAGTTAATATACAAATTCTTAAGTATACACAGTTTTCCAATATAGAGCATATATTGTAACAAATTTCTGAACACTGAAATATTATCATGTGTTCTTACAATCTAGGTGTAAAAACTAAAAACCAATCAAAGGAGAAAAACCAAAAAATTCACAAACAACACACTCCTGAACTACCAAAGAAAAATCTAAAAGTAAATAAAGTATCCTGTGATATATATAAATATGGAAACACAACATGCTAAAACGTATGAAATTCAGCAAAAGTAGTTCAAAAAGAAAAGTTTATATAAATGTCTTCATGAGTTAAAAGACTTCCAATAAATGCCTAAACTTTACACCTAAAAGAAATGGGGGGGGGCAGAGAAAAAGATATTTGAGGGCTGAAAATGAGATTATCTTAAGCCAAGATCTTCAATGGATGAAAGGAACTGGGTAACAGCTGAATTCCAGGGAGAATAAAAGAAAATGCATGACTACATTCTCTCTTTGACAGATTGACAGGTGGACTTGGAAGCAAGGGATCCAAGACACCCAGGTGGTACTGGTATGTGCTGGGCTGCTGGGTGGGGGAGGGGCATCTCCACCCAGTGGCCCCTGACTCTCTGCCCCTCCCCCTTTCAAGAGCCCTTTGTGATGAGGCCTCTGTGATGTAGGCTCGGGCCTACAGCCTGCTGGCAAAGGAGATTTATAGAGCAATTCAGACGATGGAGAATCCTCTCTTCAATCTGAAAAGCAGCAATGCCCAATGGCTGAGCCCCAGCTCCACAACCATGGTGTTGGATATGATCCTTGCCATTGTGTGTGGAGTGGGACTTTTTCTCGTGTTACTGCCTTTCCTTAATCGAAAACCACCCTTACCACCACCTGAGGGAAAAAAGAAGCAGAGGAAGGTAAGAATCTTTCAACCCAGACTCTTCCAAAAGTAATCTTCCTCTTTCTTTCTTTCCTTTTCTTTCTCCTTTCTTTCTTTCCTTTCTTCTTTCTTTTTCTTCCTTTCCTTTCCTTTCTTTCCTTATTCTTTTCTGTCTCTCTCTCTCTCTACACACACACACACACACACACACACACACACTGCAATTTTCACTTTTTCAAATCAAGTAGAGAAGTGATTGAAATCCTAGGAAAGAAAGAAGACAGCCGTCTTCCCCTCTGCACTGGCAGGACAGGGCGAGGTGAGGATACCCACCAGGTCATCCACTAAACTCACAGACCATCTAGGTGGAGTCTTTTAGATGCCAAGGTAAAGTCAATCACTGGGAGTTTATGGCTGAGAAGTGGGCTCCTGAGCACTGGTTCCAAGGTCCCCTTATCATGGCAAGGGCCTGAGAGGGAGGGAAGAAAGGTATGTGATCTTTTCCACATGTTTCTCATTGTTGGGCTGCTTTGAGGACCGCGCTGAGTCCCTGGGAATCTCTCAACAGCCCCTGGAACCTACTGGCAGGCACCTGCAGAAGCCCCAGTCTGTGGTTGTGAGTAAAGAGATAGTGACTAAAGGGTATCCAGGGTGGATTTCACATAAGAAATCCCTCTTTGTGTTTCTGAAAAAATAAAATACTAGGACTCACACCTGTAATCCTAGCCTACTCAGGAGGCTGAAATCCGAGAATCACAATTTCAAGACAGCCAGAGTAGAAAAGTCCATGAAATTCTTATCTCCCAATTAACCACCAGAAAACCAGAAGTGGAGCTGTGGATCAAGTGGTAGAGCACTAGCCTTGAGCTGAAGAGCTCAGGAGCAGTGCCCATGCCTTGAGTTCAAGCCCTAGGACTAGAAAAAGAGAAACACACACACACACACACACACACACACACAATGATATATATGTACATATGTGTATATATAGTAATATATATAGTATATATAAGATATATACTATATAGTATACTATATATGCTACATAATATATACTAGAGTATATATACTATAGTATATAGTATATATAGTGTCTATAAACTATAGTATAAACTATATATACTATACATATAGGATATACTATATACTATAAATACTATATATACACTATACTATATGCTGCATACTATATATAGTATATACCATATACTATATATATACTATATAGAGAGTATATACTATATACACACTATACTATATATACTTATATAGTATGCTATATATAGAGCATATAATATATACGATATATAGTATATATATACTCTCTATATATACTATATATATAATGCATATGTGTATATAGTTATATATATAGTATATATGATATATACTACACATATACTATAGTATATATACTATATATAGTATACATTATATACTCTATATATAGCATACTATATAAGTATATATAGTATAGTGTGTATATAGTATATACTCTCTATATATACTATATATAGTATATATACTATAGTATATGTGTAGTATATATCATATATACTATATATATAACTATATACACATATGCATTATATATACTATATATGTACTACATATATGCTATAAATACTATATAATATATTACTATATATAAACACATATATACATATATATGGAGAGTGTGTGTATATATATATATACTATATATAGTATATATATATTTAGTATGTATCTATATATACTATATATGTGTGTATATATATAGTATATATATATATATAGCCAGTCCTGGGGATTGAACTCAGGGCCTAGTGTTGTCCCTGAGTTTCTTTTACTCAAAGCTAGTACTCTACCACTTGAGCCACAGTGCCACATTTGACTTTTTCTGAGTTGTTTATTGGAGATAAGAGTTTCACAGACTTTTCTGCCTGGCCTGGCTTCAAAAAGTGAGTAAAAGGTAAGAAAAAACGAATTCCATGAATTCAATATAGAATGTCATAATGTTCAGAAACAATACCTGCTCCTTGTCTAGAGAGAGAAGACTGAGACTTGAACTCAACCTCCCATTTTCTTCTTGTTTCTTAGGATCATCTGCAGATATGGCGGTGGAAAAAAAGCAGGAAGAAACATATACCTCCAAAAGGTAAGGCAGTGCCATTCGTTCCTGAGGTCCAGAATTAATGCTGGTCCTCAGGGACCAGAGCCAGGTCCCAGGGGTCTCTCAGGATGTAGTTGCAGAGGCCTGAGGGAAAGGCTCCTGGGAAGGAAATTGGAATTGTGGACATTTCTCGGGTCCTGTGTTTAGAAGGAAACTGTGATGGGTCTGGATTTGTTCAGTAGGACAAGGCTGTTTTACTTGAATAAGGCTCATGTTTTCTTAGATGATCCCAGCCTTTCTTCTGCACACAACTGTAAAGACCCTGGAGAAATGCCGTAGATGGAACCCTTTGTAAATGATAACAGCACTCCCCACCCACATACTTTGCAACCTCTGCCAGCCAGGTTCTTGTAACCTTGAGCTCCAGTGCCTGGACTGCAGAGTCAAACCTCTTCTACATGGACATCCTGTTCAGGTTCCACTAAAGTCTCTCGTCTCTCTCCATTTTCACTACCATAACCCAGTCTCCTTATTTCTAGCATCTGGAGTACACCTGAAGGAGATAAAAGAAAAAGAACAAAATGGCTCATGCTTAGAACAAATGAGCCCAAAACCTCACCTGAATCCTGTAAGGGATCCATTAGAGCCACCAAGTACAGAACAGGATGACAAAACCCCACAACATATGAGCCCAGGACACCACTCAAATCCTGCAAGGGACCAATTAGAGTCACCAAGTACAGGAGAGGACAACAAAACCCCACGATCCTTCTGGGACACGAAAGATAAGTCAGAACATCTACAGGGTCCGCAGCAACTATCATTACCCAAGATCGCAGATGATGATTTCCAGAAGAAATATGACCAACTTTTCTGGGGTCTCCCTTCTCTACACAGTGAATCCTTAGTGGCTACAGCCTGGATCCCCCAGAATTCTCCTCTACAGTCTCCATTTTTCCTATTCAATGGAACTTCAATTCAAGATAAAATATCTCCACTGCTTTCTCAAGTCCATCCCATCTCCCATCTGGAGTCCCAGTCCCCATCCTTAATTCTGCCTATCTCCCAATTCCAGCCCTCATCTCTGGATCATTTCCATCAATCCTCTCTCCCTTCCCTGCCTTCTTCTCTACACCATCTTAGGGACTACGGAACATCTTTTTCTGTAACCCAAAATAAAGTCCAATTTTTCAGTCCAACTGAAAGTCATTACCCAGAAAAGTCTTTGCTAAGGAGACAACTAGAACGAGAATGGGATTTCCCCTCAGTGGTCCAAACGTCTCAGCAATCCAGCTGTCCTGTCACTCCTAACCCTTCCCAAGAAAGCTGGGCAGTCTCTATCCTTCCTGAGAATTTGCCAATCAGCCCTGAGCTCCGGGGGAAACTGGAGGAACACATTCAGAAGTGGCTCGTTCAACACGGATTGGACGTGCCCCACAGGATCCAGGAGTCCCTGGAAGTGATGGATTTTCAAGAGGAGTTGACAAGAACGTGCTCGGATCACATCAAGCCTGGCCCTTCTTGCTCCTTTATGTCGACCAGTGAACAGTACAAGGAAGTACAGAAGGTGAAGTTCCATTTAGACAAGGAGGTTGGCAAGAACTTGGGGCATATTCTGGGAAGGGCCCCGAAATACCCATCCAAGGAGGCGGAGGACGCCCCAGTGAAAACTACCAAGGTGAACTCTAAAGAATCCCTGAAGAAGAATGACTCGGTGAAAAATGGATCAAGAGGCAGAGACAAGAATCTACAAAACGACTCCAAATCTCATTTGGCCGGTAAGCTGGGGCGTAAATGTGAGGTTCCGCGGCCTATGAGCATGCCCCAACCCTGGCTTCCTGCTTTGCCGATGCCTAACACCCACAAGCAGACCAATCGTCTAGAATTTTCGGAGACTATGGAAAGCTGCGAGCCCACCTTCCGAAAGCTTTCCTTCCTCGACGCATGTACTCATCGGGCCCTGGAGGCTCATATTATAAAGCTTTGGGTGAAACACCGGTGGAGCTTACCCCTCAAGGCCCTGAAACCCATTAATGTCTTTAAGCTGAGAAAGTCTCAACTTTTGGCCCTTCCGCACTTCAGTGGTCCCTCCTCCTCCATCTGCGTATCGAAGGCCAGCTCAAAAGTTCAGGTTGCCAAATTCCTGGGGAAACCACCCCAGGCAAGCTCCAAAGAGAAGGTGATGGCTAACAGCAGTGTTCCCCAAACCCTGACTCCCCTTACCCCCTCACCCTCATGCAAGGAGACGGAAAGACTCCACAAAAGAATCCCATTCGGAGATGCCTATGTCTCCTCACCGCCCCCTCCAGCTAGAGCAGAGGGAAAATGGGCTCCTCCGGTTCTCACGGGCAGCCATGTGCACAGCAGCTGTCCAAGAAAGTCGGTCGTGGGGACTGGGCAAGGCAGCCTAGAGGTGCCTACAAGATCTGCAACCCATGCTCTAAGAAAGCCATGCTTTCGGAAAGAAGTCACAAATGAGTTTGAACAGAGACAGAGGAATGCCGTGATCCAGGCCTCAGCCTGCGTCACCGGTGTCACCCTTCCACGCTGCAATGCCAGGGACATGCCCCTGGCCGCAAGTTATCTGGCTCCTCTCATGTCAGAGGACGTGATGATGCAAACGCCCTGTAGTTCAGGACAACATCAGCCCCATGTCGTGAAATGCCAAGACACATGGAGAAATCAACCCAAAATGTATGCCTTTACTTACAAAGGGGAGGAGTATAGGAGACCAACCCCAAGGAATCATGACAAAACATGTGAAGAAATGAGGACCCCCAAACTCACTCCAGCCAGGAGAACGGAAGAAGCTCCAGAGAACAGAACCCCTACTCCAGCTCCTCCAGAAAACCACTTCCAAAAATTCATGAGACGCTTTTTTCACTGGATGCTACCCAAGAAAACAATCATGGCAGAAGCAGACACCCTAGACAAAGACAAGCCTAAGAGTACCCCTGTCCAGAGCCACCGAAGAGGGCAAGCTGGGACACACATGGACAGGAACATGGCCGAGGCACAGGAACTCATGACAGCCGTTGGACAGATCGTGGAAAAGAAAATGATGCTTCATCACAAGCTTTGCACCTTGAAGTCAAACCAGTACAAAGAATACCCTCGAGCTCCCAACTGTCACATTCCCTCTTACCAGAGACCCTCCCACTACTCAGATCAAAGAAGGATGAGCAGCTATGCAGCCACCAAGTGGCAGAGGTGTCCTACCCAGGACAGGAAACTCAGGCCCAAACAGTCCCTGAAGAGTGTCCGATTCAATGAGCAGCGTGGGGCCGAACAAGCCTGCTATCCACCCTCCAAGAAGGCTGAGTCACCGCCAACTGCCTCCCCGCACGGGCCAACAGTGCCAGGGCCCTCGAGCCATCATCAGCAACACTGCCCAAGGCATTGTCATCTCAGGAGAGGTGTCTTGTCTCCATCAGAAAATCCTTCTCCAGTCCTTTCCGTTAGGAAAACATGTCCCAAAGGAAAACTGTGATGCGTGGAAGAAGAAAAGACTCCACATGCTAGCAAATCCAGTTAATGTAAAGCCAATAAACATATTATTTTCCCCTCACAAAAGGTAATGACTTCTGTGTCTTCCATGGTTGGTGTGGGCTTTAGCTTCTAGAGGGAAGGAGGGGGTGGGGAGAGATGAAGAAGTTGAGTTACAAACTGATCTTTATCCAGACATCCTTCATTGAGCTATATATTCAATGAATAATGTCCTATAATACCACCCTGATGGAAATCAAAACTATATATAGATATATTTTATTTTATTTTTGCTGGTCCTGGAGTTTGAACTCAGGGCTTGGGCACTCTGCCACTTTGAGCCACAGCACCACTTCTGGTTTTCTGGTGGTTAATTGGAGTCTCAAAGACTACCCAGCCTTGGCTGGCTTCGAATCATAATCCTCAGATCTTAGCCTCCTGAGTAGCTAGGATTATATATAGCCACTGGAACCCAACCAAAAACTTCTTTTTTTTCCTGAACTGGGGCTTGGACTCAGAGCCTCTCACCTTCCTTGACTTTGTGTTTGTTTGTTTTTGATTACTGCTTGGAGTTCTACCACTTCAGCCATACCTATACTTCCAGCTTTTTGCTGGTTAACTGAAGAGTCTTGCAGACTTTTCCACACATACTGGCTTTGAACTGTGATCCTCAGATCTCAGACACCTGAGTAGTTAGGATTACAAGCATGAGCCACCAGCACCAATCTTCTAAACAACAAAAACTCTTAAACCAGTAAGGACATCCAGTGAAATCCCTACCCTAGAAGTGGTTCAACCCATCCTCCGACTACTTAGGCAACTCTAGGGACCAAATTTACAAAGGCCTCTTAGGGCTGAAAATTCCTGCAGGCTCCAAGAAAGGTCAGATCCAAGGAGCTTCACATGTCACAAAGTAGGTAAAGTGTGAATGGGAGAGTACAAGCGCTCTGAGTTATGAAGCAGGAAGAAAAAACAAATTTCTCTTGGCTCCTTTGGTGGGAAATAGAAATTTTCCACTCCTGGGAAGTCCCTTCTCTCTGGCGAAAGCTAGAATGCAAATGGGTCCTCTTAGTTTGGCCCTAATGAAAAGCTCAGAGTGGCCGCCCCACCCTCTCTGCCTTTCTCCCACTCTGGAGCAGCATTAAAGGTAGACCTGATGACCAGGGAGGCCACTAAGGGCCATGTTTCCCGCAAATGTTTAAACCATCCTGTCCACAGGCTGATGACCTTGGTCTAGCTCACATCTAATTCAACCTCAGGGGGAAAACCTGGGTGAGGAGAACAGGTAGGAGACTGTGTGTGAACTGATGCCAGGCATTGTGGGACCTGAGGATGAAATGTGGGAGAAGAATTGAAAAGAAGTTAGAAATAAATGGTGCCATGTGACTGGTCCCTACAAGTTTAGGAAAGGAGATACAGAGGCCAAGAACTCTATCCTGGCCTCACCCCAGATTCCCACCTGCTTCCCATCCCACATCTGGATAAACCTTTAGCTCAGATGCAGAGGATTAGCCTAAAGAGGAAGCAAAGCGAATCAGAGGGAGTTAATTTGTTCCCTTGCAGTGCTGGATATTCAAACCAATGTCAATAATCTGGTGATGAGAATGGGCCCCCATATAAGGGACTAGATTGGCACCAAGCAAGGAGGGCACAGGCCCTGATGCCTCGATACTAGAGCCAGGTCCTACTTCTGGGATCCTGATGAGTATGGCAGCCTCCAAAGAGAGTGGAGTCAGGACTGGCAGGATTGGTTGGGGCCTGGAGCAAAGAGGTGCTGGAGGACATCATGAGAGGATCATAGAGCTGAGCCTCTGGCTTCAGGACATGCTGCCCCTGGATACTGCTGGTCTCCCTGAGGACACCAACATGCAAGTTCTGGACTGTGAGGATGCTGGACATAGAACCATGGTGCCTGCCAAGAAAGGCACCAGAAACAGGCTACTCTGATGGACCAGTCAGAAAACAGGAAGGACAAAGTCCCTCTCTGCTACACAGCTTTCCATACAGTGCGATGAGAACAGCAGTTGAAGACAGCCACAGGCACCTCTAAGTGGAAACTTCCCAGAGAGATTTCATGCACAGATACCACGCAGAGATCTCTCATTGTCACCTAGTATACCATTTCCACAGGAATCTCAAAGGGCTCTGAGACCTCATGTCAGACCCTTGCAGACATTTTGAGTAGCTGGCTCACAAAGACTACCTTCCTACAGAGATCACTCAGACTTCTCCATCCTAGTCTTCCCACAGTGACCTCCAATCCACCAGATTTCCAAATACACACACACACACACACACACACACACACACACACACACACACCCCTCCCACAGAGCTCCAAGTCTACACAGAGACCTCTCATGTCCGCATGGACACCTTGCACAGATTCCACTGGTGGTTCCACCGTCGTGGGCTAAAAACTCACACACAGAATTCCTTCGGGAGTTTCAAACAGAAACGTCCCACAGAGATCACAAGGTCCTCCTACAAGGCTCTCTGACAAGGTCCTGACATAAAGTCCTCCCACAAGGCCCTCTGACTAGGAATTACCCACAAGGCCCTTCCACAATGTCCTCCCACAGCCAAACACCAATAGACTTCCCATAGAGACCTCATGAGGAAACTGACCAGAGAGACCTCCCTATGGACACCTCAAGGCAGAGATCTGGCACAAAGACCTGCAGTGCTCCACAGAGAAGAAGCACAGAGCTTTGGGCCAGGGCCAGAGACCTCACAGACACCTGTACACAGACTTCCTATTCTTTGGGCCAGGGCCAGAGACCTCACAGACACCTGTACACAGACTTCCTATTCCTCCCCACACATTTCACAGAGACCCCTACAGAGACTGCAAGCTACCCCATGACCCTTCCCCCCCCCCCCACACACACACAGACAACTCACATGGAAACCTCTCAGGAAGATTCTAGGGATGTCCGCCTCACACAGTCCTTCTTCAGGAGCCTGAGGGCCCGCACTCTGTGCAGATGAAACCATTAGCAAACCCTAGGTTGTGCCTTTCCAAACCCTGAGGTACCCAGATACTGTCAGCCATGCACCAAAAATGGGGTTCTCTACTTGGGAAAAGTTTAAGAGTAAGACAACACTCACTGGATCTGATTATAATCCACTCAGGATTATATGTCTATGAAAAAAAGTATCTGATCTATTTTATTCTACTTTTCTATGTTAACGTGTAGACACAGTAGTGTTCAAAGAAGCCATTGTAAAAGATATTGGTACTTGGCTGGGAAGGTGGCTTAGTGGTAGAGCGCTTGCCTCACATGCATGAAGCCCTGGGTTCAATTCCTCAGTACCACATACACAGAAAAAGCCAGAAGTGGTGTTGTGGCTCAAGTGGTAGAGTGCTAGCCTTGAGCAAAAGAAGAGCAGGGACAGTGCCCAGGCCCAGAGTTCAAGCCCCAGGACTGGAAAAAAAAAGATATTGGTATTTAAACGCCATTGCAAATGTGACTCATACATGTAATATTAGCTACTCGGCTGAAATCTGAGAATCCTCAGTTCAAAACTGACTGGGCAAGAAAGTCCATGAGATTCTTATCCCCACTGATTTACAACAAGAAAGAGAAAGAGAAGAGAGGGAGGGGAAGGAGGGAGGGAGGGAGAGAGGGAAGGAAGAAGGGAAGGGAAGGAAAGAGGAAGGGAAAGGAAAGGAAAGAAAGGAAGAAAGGAAGGAAGGAGAGAGAAAAGGAAAAAGCCAGAAGTGGAGCTTGGCTCAAATGGTAGAGCATTATCCTTGAGCAAAAAGCTCAAGAATAGCACCCAGGCCCTAAGTCCAAGCCCCAGGACTGGTACAAGGGGGAAAAAAGGCAGAACTCACCTGAGATAAGTTCATTTTCTGCTGCCCCTGAAAGAATGTAGAGAATTGTGAAGGTTCTGCTAGGGACAAAGAAAGAAAAAGAGAGTTTGAAGAGAACTGGCTACCTTATAGTTCCCATGTCACCTACCTAAAATATCACATCAGCCAGAGAAAAGGTTTCCTAATGGGAAATATCCATTTCACTCTGAGAAGGGACAGGAAGGACCATAGAAAGGTAGCAACAGAGAAGCCTGTGTATCTTTGACAGGATTGTGTAGGTTTGTTTTTTTCACTAAATAGGGTAAACTTTTTCTGTCAATTAACTAAAATCCTTTCCTTAAAAAAAGCAGTATAAACAAACAAGAGAATAGGTTAAACAAGCCCAGACACACACAGTTTTTTATTGTTGTTTTGGTTTTTTTGTCTACATTCATTAACTCTCTCTCTCTCTCTCTCTCTCTCACACACACACACACACACACACACACACACACAAAGTCAGCTTACTAAGCAAGTTCTTATTGCCTTATTATCTTTACTCCATGACTTAGAATTTCCCTAGAAAGCTCTAACAGGACATTTTGTGTAAACCTTTAAACCCTTTTTCTTCTAAGTCAGTTGTCAGTTCTTACAAAAGATATATTGAAGCTGGATGTAGCAGCTCATGCCTACAATCCTAGCCTCACAGAGAATGTAAATGAGAGAGGCTCAGTCCATGCCAGTTGGGACATGAGACAAGACCCTAATGACTAAAGCAAAAAGGGCTAGGAAAATGGCTCAAGTGGTAGGGTGCATTCTTAGCAAGAACAAGGCCCTGAGTTCAAACCTCATCACTGAAAAAAAATCAGACAGACAGACAGGGAGATAGACACATAGAAGATAGATAGATAGACAGACAGACAGGCAGGTAGGCAGGCAGGCAGACAGACAGACAGACAGACAGAGCATTTGCTCTGTGTGAGTGAACAGCACTCTGCTTCGTTCCTGTTTCTGCTCTGGATATTTGTACAAAAGTCATTCATTTTAGGCTGGATATTTTTTGAGCTTCCAACACAGAAAACTCTACTACTATTTTTGTGATATTCTGTGTTCAGGAAAAAGCATTAGCTTAATTCAAAAAGCTACATGTGATGACAAGACATAGTATGTTATGAGAGTACCTCAGAAGCTGGAAAAGGGGAGGA